GGCAGGGGCCCGCGGGGCGCGCGGGGGGCGGCCGGCCCCGCGGACGCCAGCGCCGACGAGTGGATCCGCAAAGGCAGCTTCATCCACAAGCCGGCGCACGGCTGGCTGCACCCAGACGCCAGGGTCCTGGGGCCCGGGGTCTCCTACATCGTGCGGGTGAGTGCGCCGGCCGGGATCCTGCGGACCACACCTCCCCCGGACCCCAGCTGGGGGCGCCCCTCCCCCACTTCCCACTCTGGGACCCTCGGACCCCTCTGCCCCCTCGTCCCTCCTCTCCCTGCCACCCCGGACCCCCACCTCCAGCCGGCTCTGCGCCGGCCGCCCCCAACCGGGAGGCTCCGGGCTCGGTGTTCCCACGGCGTCACGTGGGGAGGGGCGGGGCGAGGGAGGCAGGTGGGTGGGAGACACGCATGCGCAGGGTGAACGCGCTCCCGCTCCGTTGGCGCCCGCTTGCGTAGGGTGAACGCGCTCCCTTTGGCGCCGGGAGGGGGGGGTCTGCGGAACGCGGTCGCGGGTGGTCGCGTCCTACCGCCGGAGCCCGTTCAAAGCTCTTTCTCGGACGGCGGAATCGGAACCTGCAGAGACCTTGGCCCAGGTGGGGGGCCCGGGGAAGGGGTATCCGGACCCGGCCGCGCCCAGCCAGACCGCAGTGGGACTAGGGGACTCGCGCTGCGGTGTAAAGAGAGGGGCCCTCTTTTATCCTGGTGCTTTACTGGGAACCTTGCAAACGCACGGAACAGCCCCTGTGTACCTGCATCTACGACGGTCAGCATTTTCGCCTGTCCACTCAAAATACCTATCCTGGCGTGTAGTTTTCCTTGAAACAGAAGGAAGTAAGCGGCCGAGTGTGACGCTTGCTGTGAGATGTCCCGCACGCGTCTCCCTAGATAGCCGTCCTCCTGTACACGCACAGCTCATTGTTACGTCTGGGAAATCACCAGAGATCCCGAAGTGTCATCAAACTGGTAGTCATTCACACCCCGTCAGTTGGCCTTTGGGGACCAGGAGCCTGGAAGTTAATGTGATTGCATTTGGTTATACAACCGTGTCCAGCACCTCTCCCAGGACTGGGCTGAGTAGTGTCTCCCGCTAAATTCGTGTCCGTGGGGACCCGCGAATGCAGCCTTATTTAGGAATAGGTTCTTTGTAGAAGCAATCACGTTAAGATGAGGTCATCCTGGAGGGTGGCCCTAATGTAATGGTTGGTGTGTTTATGAGAAGAGGGCATAAGGACACAGACGCACAGGGAGAAGCCACGGAGGACGGAGGCAGAGGCTGGGGTGATGCAGCCACAGTCCTGGGGGCACCAAGGGTTGCCGCTCGCCACCACTGGGAGCTGGAGGAGGCAGGAAGGACCCTCCCCTGGAGCCTGCAGACGGAGTGCGGCCCTGCCTCCACCTTGTTTTCAGACTTCTGGGCCTCCAGAACTGGGAGCATGTATGTTTCTGTTGTTGTAAGTGGCCCAGTTTGTGGTACTTTGATAGGGCCGGCCCCAGCAGAGGACTGTGCCCCTGATAGGGTGGACGTTCTGGATGTCCCAGACACTCCGTCCACGTGGGGTCCAGGTGTGCGACATCACATCTCAGGGGGCCTGTTAGATGTGTAGAGCCTCAGGCCCAACGCGGAGTTGTTGAGGCTGTGGACCGCCCCACATTCTGGATCTCTTTTCTCACGGCGTCTTTTAACTGGGTTCTTTGCCCTTTCCCTCCCTGAGTCCTGGCAGTGGGTCCACAGGCTTGACTGGATTCAGAAGTGGCTTTGTAGCAAGAGTGTCTCGTGGGTAGTGCTGTGGACTTGACAGGGGAGCTGTGTCTGCCCACTGGCTGTGACGGCAGGCGTGTAGGATGTTCAGAGTTCAGATGCTTGCGTTGTGCGGTGCGGGGTGTTGGGTTCTTCCAATGATCATGACATTTTTGTCAATGCAGCAGGTATTTAATGCATGCCCACCCTGCCAGGCACTGACAATCTGGTCGGAAATGGGGAAGATCTGGTGCCTGCCCTTACAGGGCTTACATTCTAGAGGGAGACACTGACAGTAACTAACCAAGAGAACACATAAATGGAAGGTGCAGGCAGGTGCTAAATTACGATGCAGGAACGAAAGTACCAGAGTGAGAGACTGGGTGGTCACCTCAGCAGGGGCGTTAAGGAGAAGGCATCTCTCGGCAGATGACATTTAAACTGAGACCCGAAGCTGTGAGGCCCCAGACACGAAATGACTTGGGAAAGAGAGTTCCAGGCAGGGGGCAAAGCAAGTGCAGAGGCCCAGTGGCAGGGAATGAGTTTGGCGTGTTTGGGTAACAGCAGGAGACCTACATGGAGCTTAGAGAAGGAGAGATAAGAGATTTGCTGGCAAGTTTGGCTGTAGATGGTTTTAAGCAGGGGTCGCAGGGTGGAGTTGGGGGTTTGAAAGGGTCTTTCTGGTGGCGCTATGGAAACGGGGTGGGAGTGGGGGCTGGAAGGGCAGCAGAGAGACCCAGGAGGGGGTGAGGGGAGAAGACCTGGACCCGGGCAACGTGAGGGTAGAGAGAGGTGGGGACAGGGTCTGTGTTGGAGATGCAGCCCAGAGGGGTCTCCGACTGACAGATGAAGGGCCCTGACCCTGGCCTGTCGGAGGGCCCCGTGGGGTCCGAAACAGCCTCGGCCCCCCGCTGTGTTTGCCTGGGAGCCTCTCTCCGCGCCTACGTCACAGAGCCAAGTAGCGCCTTTTGGTTTACAGAGCGGCATGAGGTTAAGGCAGGGGGCAGGCATCCCTCAGGTCACACCGGGATTGGCTGGTCTGAGCAGGACTCTTTCACACTAGGACCCTGGGACTGCAGAAGAGGATGTATGGTTCCCATTTTGTAAGTTGGGAAACTGAGGCACAGCGCGGCAGAGCGTGTCCACAGATGCGGAGTGAAAATCCAGTACCAGACCTGGAACTAAGGTCCCTCCCACAGAGCCTGAACTCACCCGTCTGTCAGATACTAGGGCAGTTGACAGATTGACAACCCCAGAGACATCCCGTCCTGGGACCTACAGATGTGTCCCCTCACACAGCAGAGGGGACCTTGTCCGGGCCCCTGAGGCAGGGTGACCCGGGGTGCCCTGGGGGCCCGGCGTCCTCACGAGAGGGAGGCAGAGAGCCGGGCGGACCCCGCGCTGCTGGCCGTGAGGATGAGGAGGGGCGGCGGGCCCAGGATGTGGCGCCTCTGGCAGCCGGAAAAGGGGGACATGGGGCTCCCTGGGGCCCCAGGGGAACCGGCCCTGCCCACGCCTGGGTGTTGGCCAGGAGGCCCGGGTCCGACTCCTGACTCCAGAACTATAAGGGGATAAGTTTATGTTAAATTTGTAGTCTTTTATTGTAGCGGCAAGAAGAAGCTAGTATTTCAGTCGGCTCACGTCCCTGACGTCACAGAACCGTCACAAAAGCCTAGAAGGATCCCTGTTTGAGATGAGAAGGCCCAGCCCCGGAGAGCAGAGATGGGAACGTGGCATCTGAGTTCCAGGTGCACCGTGTTCAGTGCTGTGTGTAGATCGGGGGGGATTACCCTCACAACTCTGAGGGTTCCCACCCATTTTATACGTCAGGAAGCCGAGGCACGGCGACGTCCAGGAACCTACCAGGAGCGCTGTCCTGGTGAGGGTCCTGGCAGCTGCGATGCCTTCAGCTGTGTCGCCACACCCTGACTCAGGACTTGGAGGTAAAAGATGTCGATTGTCGTATGTGAGAAGAGACCCCGGGTGGACGGCGCTGCGCTTACCTCAGCAGCTTGGTGACCTCATCATGGATTCAGGCTCTTCTCTTGTGTTGGGGTGAATGGTGTCCCCGTGTTCAGGTCAACCTGGAACCTCAGCACACGGTCTTGTTTGGAAGTAGGGTCTTTGCAGATGTATGACCTGAGGATGAGGCCATGCTGGAGGAGGGTGGGCCCTGAATCAGTGACCGGTGTCCTTGTGAGCCGCGTGAGGGCCGGAGAAGGAGGCCACACGAGGGAGGCGGAGATTGGAGTGACCTGGCTACACCAGGAGCTGGACAGCAGCAAGGACCCTCCCTGGAGCCCCTGGAGGGAAGCACTCTGCACCACTTGGATGTCAGGCCTCTGGTCTCCAGACTCTGAGGGCACGTGCTTCTGTTGTTTCAGGCCGCCCAGTCTGTGGTGCCCTGTTACGGCCTCCCCAGGAGACCTCCCCAGGGGGTCCCTAGAGGAGAGACGGAGAGTAGACGCTGGGAGCCAGGGGTGCGGCAGGGGGCTGGGAGTCAGTGCTTCACGGGACAGGGTCTCAGTCTGGGGAGACGGAAAGTTCTGGAGACGGGTGGCGGGGGCGGCGGCGCGACAGTGTGAGTGCGCTCGATGCTGTTGAGCTATGCGCTTAGAGACGGTTACGGTGAGGGGCGCCGGGCAGGCTTGGTGGAGCATGCGACTCTTGATCTTGGGGCTGTGAGATCGAGCCCCACATTGGGTGTGGAGATTACTTAAAAATAAAATCTTTAAAGAAAAAGAAATGGTTAAGGTGGCAAATCTTATGTGTTTTCTACCACAGGAAGTGAACAGAAGTTGCCTCCCATGGCTTGGGTTATGATTGAGACGAGTTAAGATTGGGGGCACGGTGGTCACACAGGGTTTCCCACATACACGAGAGCCTGCAGGCCATTCTGAAGTCCCTGGGGACCTAGGGCGGTTGGCATCAATGGGAGACTTCCCGTGTTAGGAGCAGGGCGCCCCCGCTTTCTGAAGAGCTCACACTGGTCGTCTTGCAGGCCGTCCCTGGGTCTGTGTCTGACTGGTGTTTGCTCACGATTGGGCTCAGGTTGTGCGTTCTGGGCGAGCAGCACAGAGCTGTGTCTTCCCCACTGAGCAAAGCAGGAGGCAGGGACGGGTGCCAGTCCCGATACCGGTTCTGGAAACTTGTATCGCTTGGTGTACTGGTACGAATGGCGTTCCCCCAAATTCGTGTCTGCCAGAGCCTTAGGATGTGACTTTCTTTGGAAATAGGGTCTTTGCAGACGTAATCTAGTTTAGATGACAGGATGCCGTAAATCTACACGACCGGTGTCCTAAAAGGAGAGAAGTTGGACACAGACACACATGTGACGACAGGGGCAGAGACTGGAGTGTGCCTGGCAGCCGAGGACATCCGGCCACCCCCGTCAGAAGCTGGAGGACGCAAAGCGT